AGATAGATAGATAGATAGATAGATAGATAGATAGATAGATAGATAGACAGACATGCAAATAAATATAAAATAATGTAATTTTAAAGTATATTTGATTTCCTCTAGGGAAAATGTATCTGACACATGAACACAGAGCATTGATGACTTCAGTCCTCACAGAGGGTGAAAAAGTAATTGTTTTTTCTCTTCTGTTGACCAGACAGGATCTAGCAGGTGTCTGGGAATCACAGGAGAGTCCCTGGGTCATTTCAGAGGCCAGCAAGGAGGCTTTGGGTGTCATACTGTGGCCTGTCTCATGCTGCTTCAGAGGCCCATCCACAGAAAACCCTGCAATGTCTGCCACCCTGTGCACGCGCTGTGGGTACCGCACAGCAAGCCCCAGCCTTCTTCAGTTTGACCATCAGATCACTGCACTGAATTTAATCCTGGAGGAGGACCGGTGGTCCGCGTGCCTGTCTCCCAGATGAAGAAACCACTGCGGCCTCTGCCCACCTCATCCTAAACTGTCCATCCCTCTTCTCTCCACAGTTATTCCTGGAGCTACAACCTACGTTGTCATTGTGGGTACGGACCAGATGCACCGGTTTATCACAGCAGCTCTGGGGTCATGGGTGACCCTGCAGGAATCTTGGGGACAAAGCTTGCTGAGGATCTTCCAGACTTTCCCGGGGCCTCTCTTGTGTCTTTGGCACATCAGACACAGTGCACAGCTGTCATAGACCTGCACACCTACGAGGCACCCTCCACCTGCTCTTAGCCTCCAACCATCTTGGCCTCTGGCCTGACTTCCGGTGTTCCTAGGATCTAGTTTCATTTTTAAATTGTGTGTGTGTGTGTGTGTGTGTGTGTGTGTGTGTGTGTGTGTGTGTGTGTAAAAGAGAGAGAGAGAGAAGGAGGCCTGGGGGGACACGTGTGCATGTACATGTCCACATGCAGGCCATGTGCAGGTCTGTATTGGGTGACCTCTTCCATAACTCCCTACCCTTCAAACAGGGTTGCTCACTGAGCACAGAGCTCATGCATTTGGTTAGGCTGGCCAGCCAACCCCAGGGATCTTCCTGTCTCTGCCTCCCCAAAGCAGGGATTACAAGCACATGCTGCTATTTCCAGCTTCTTAGGTGGATGCTGGGAATTGAACTTGGGACTCCATGATTCTGAGATTTCACTTCACCGAGTGAGTCATCTCTTTGTGCCAACATGTGGTTTCAATGAAGTCTGTGTTCACTGAACAGGAACCACAGATTTGCTGGATGATGATGATGATGATGATGATGATGATGATGATGATGATGATGAT